GTTGGGCCCGACCCCGCAGGAGCTGTGGGTGTGGGGACAGCCCCAGCCACCGCCTTCTTCCTCTCCAGCAGGTTGTCTACCAGGTTCCCCTGAAGGAAAATCACGTCTTGAAGAGAAACGTGGATCAGCAGCTGAGGATTAAGACTGTGTATGACCGGAGCGTTGAGGAGTGAGTATAACCCTGCGGCAACCCGTTCGGTTTTGTCCTCCCTGTCTGGCAGCGGAAATCCTACTAACCAAAGGTTGTTTGGTTTTGTTTCTTTAATTGTAGTTTGCTACCTGAGAAAAGACACCTTATAAAGGTATGTCGTTCTGGCCTCCCCTTTTCGTTTGCACATGCTTTATGACGTGGGGGGAGTTGAGTTCAAGGCAAATTTAATTAAAGGTTTTGAACACTAGCAATTTCATATCCTCTAGTCCTGGAAACCAAGGCCTTGTGTACAGGTTATGCCTCCAAGCAGTCTTCTGTTGAATGTTGATTGACAGGTGTTTGCTAAATCCCAAGGTGCACAGTTTCCGTGAGCAATATGTGTGTCATTTTTAAAGCCTCTTTGACGCTGTACATTCAAATTAATATTGGCTCCCTTCTCATTTTGTCATTCCAATAACAAAACGTGGGAATATCTAAACAAAATACTGGGGCATCCAACATCAGAAGGATACCAATCGGTTGGAGCGAGTCCAGAGGAGGCCACCAAGATGCTCTGAGGGCTGGAGCCCCTCTGCTATGGGGACAGGCTGAGAGAGTTGGGCTTGTTCAGCCTGGAGAAGAGAAGGCTCCAGGGAGCCTTCCAGTGCCTGAAGGGGCTACAAGGAAGCGGGGGGGGGACTTTTTACAAGGGCCTGTAGTGACAGGACAAGGGGGAATGGGATTAAGTTGAAAGTGGGGAGGTTTAGATTAGATATCAGGAAGAAGTTCTTCCCGGAGAGGGTGGTGAGGCACTGGAACAGGTTGTCCAGAAACGCTGTGGATGCCCCATCCCTGGAAGTGTTCAAGGCCAGGCTGGATGAGGCTTGGAGCAACCTGGTCTAGGGGAAGGTGTCCCTGCCCATGGCAGGGGGGTTGGAACTAGGTGGTCTTTAAGGTCCCTTCCAACCCAAACCATGCTGTGATTCTGTGATAACAGTTGAACTTAGGAAGTCTGGTTTTCCACTTTTCTGCCATACAATAGCATCTAGCAAGTTTCTTGTAACTTGGTAGTTAGTGCTTTTAAGGTGAGTTATGTCTGCACTGCTATGGGGTGACTTTTATTTTTGTTCTGTTCAGAACAAACTCTTTCCGCAAGCTATATCTTACTTGGAGAAGACATTTCAAGTGCGCAAATCCACGGGTACTATATTACTAAGCAGGTATGTGGAAGTTTGTTGCGAATCACTTGCTGTATTTGATACTTAACACTGTGTTGTATAGCCTGTAAAATCAGAATAGGAGGGTAAGAAATGCCCTCCTGGATCAGACTAGTGACCCGTCTGACCCAGCGGTGTAGCAGATGCTCTTTAGGGAGCGTACGCAAATCTGCCAACCTTCCGTGATCAACGTTTGTGGTGTCGGGGATTTTGAAAGGGTATGCATGCTGCCTGTTTCCTTTTACACGTACCTCCGTTTATGAACCTGCTCCTAATCTCTCTTTGAACCCGTGGATGCTGGAAGCATTGTCTCTTCCAGAGCAGGGTAAATAACATTTCTCACCACTTCTCACATTAAATAGCCCTGTTACAGTGTCGTTGGGTGCTGTAAGCCTATTCTGCAGTTTCTTTTTAATCATAAACCAGTGCTGACTGTCTTTCATGTTTGCTTGAAGGCAGTGTGCAACGAACCAGTATTTAAGGAGGAAAGCTGACCCTCACAGATACTGCCGAGGAGCCTGCGCAAACCATACAAGGTGTGGGCCAGTTATAGTTCCCGAGAAACACCTCCAGGTAAGCTAAGCCATCCAAGTGCTTCTTAAGCTTTGAAATATTGTTTGTGGAAATGAATTATGAAGCTAATACTGCTGACTGTGTATAAGTGACCTGCTGCGGGAGATCGCTACGTTTGAGTGGCAGAACGGAACCGTTAATGCGAGTGTCTTTTAGTTTGTGCTGTTGGACCAAAAGTCAAGTAAAACTGGACTGTTTATTGTTCTCTGAGCCTGTGTTATAATGAATGGTATGGAGAGGATGAGATTCAGAGCTTGGTAAACTGCTACTAGTCACTTCGTTATTCACCTTGGTCGATAAGTCAGATTTTCACAGAATTAGTAATAGGTTTTGGTTTTATTTTTGGTGAAGTTTTTTTGGGGTGTTTTTTTAAGACCTTTGTTGGAGAGGTTATCCACTGAGCCAGGAAAACAGTGCAGGAAATGCTTCTAACTTGTTTTCTTACATGAAGTTTTGATTCAACTGCAGTATGCGATCGGTAGATTTCTTTTTTTCTCTTCGCTTGAAGTTTCAACTGCAGTATTAAAAATACCAGATGACATGTGAAATGCAACTGCTACTTGTGTGTATGGTTTCTGTGAGCCAAATTTTTTTTAATTTGTAGGAAATGGGTGCTAATTTTTGGATATCTAGCTTGGCAGGCCTCCCCCTTTCTTATTTTTCCAAAAGCTGCCACCTTCCTGGTGTGTAATAAATCAGAATAGGTAGTCATTTGAAGGTTATTCCTTGGGTCTGGTTTTGCTGGCTTCATGGGGAGTTGTCTCATCTTCCACTGTCTTAGAATGGGATTTATTCTTGGCTTCAAGCTAACTGAATTTTGCAATGCGAAATTTGTGTCATCGCTGATGTATGTTAACCGTCCCGTTTGAACATTGTCAAAGCAATGCAGGGTGTTCAGTGAGAATGAAAGCGGACCCACTGGCTTACCTGACCAGGAAGGGGTGCGGGATGCTGACTTTGTGCTCTACGTTAGTGCTCTCACTACTGAGAGGTGTGGCCACGAAAACATCATTGCCTACGCAGCCTACTGCCAACTGGAAGCCGAAATGGACAGGTGAGTATTCCCTCTGGTACAAACTCTGTTTTTTTAAACTGCACTTTTGAGTTTTGTAATTGTTTAGATGTGAGTTTAATTGTTGGCCTGTCTTGTGTGGTATAGGGAAGTTGTAGTCGTCACTGAAACAGACAAACTACGCCTATGTAAAACCACAGAACAATCAAACGGTGCTTAACTTGCACAGCTGAGGCGTTTCAGTCAAAGCTAGTCCTCCACTGTTGTTGCCTAAACTTTATCTCAAGACCCTGCTTCTGTCATACTTCCATAAATGTAAAGAAGGATGCACGTGGGCCCTACTTACGTGGCTCTTGTTTCTAGTTCGGTTGTAGTCATTGTGACAGACGCGTTGTCCCTCCGTAGTGACTAACTTAAAACTCGGATTTCCTGTGCTGCTGTCACCAGCACCAGTGCAGAATACTGAGTAGAGAGATTGAGCCCATCCCGCCCCATTTCAGCAGTAAACTAGTCGCTCATTGTTAACAGACTGTTTATTAATGATTGGGGAAGTTCTTTGGAAGGGCTTATTTTTACACTACTTTCCATTTTCTTTTAAATATTCGGCCTCTTCCAGTGCATGTGAATGTGCTAGTACTTTACTGAAAACAATTTCCTGTCAAAACTGTCTTCCAGGCCTATAGCAGGATATGCTAACTTGTGTCCAAATATGATTTCAACGCAAGCGCAGGAATTCATCGGCATGTTGTCTACAGTGAAACACGAGATTATCCACGCGCTGGTAAGGGTCAATGCTGTAAGAGGTGTTTCCCCGAAACTGGTGCCTGCTTTCTCACACACCTCCACCTTGCTGCGAGAGAAGGTTGCGTGGTGGAGGAAAGCTCTTGCTTTGCCTCCTTCAGTTGGTGTGTTAATTGCCTTGAAGTGCGGTACTTCCAGTGTATCTGGAGTGGGAGTGATAGCTCTTTTGTGGCACTTGATTTTGTACGTGAATGCCTTTATCCAAGGTTTCCGTGTGCTTGGTTTTAAACTTGAAGGGTTTCTCTGCTGGACTCTTTGCGTTTTACCGTGACGATGATGGCAAACCTTTGACAGCAAGATATGCAGATGGACTCCCTCCCTTTAATGAAAGGTATTTTATCGGTTTGGACCTCTCGGTACTCCCGATGCAGAATGCTTTCACGTTGCCTTTCTTGGATGTATTATTGCCTGTGGAAAATCCAGCATTATTAGAATGCTTTGCCTTGATTATGTTTAAACATTGGTGGGTGGTGTTTTTTTAGTCTTTCTTTACTTTGGCATTAAGTGGTTGTATGATCCACGTATATTACAAACTAATGCAGGCTTTCATTTATCAGGAGACGTAAAGTTAAGCATTAAAATTCCCCATGCTCAAATTCTGTTGCTTTCTGGACACCTTACGAGATTGAGACTTGTCTTTTCTGTAGTCTGATGTCAGTGCGGTTCATTTTTAAGCCGTGTGTTCTGCAAGGTTTGTAGTCCTGCAGAACTGACAATGTGTGTAGTCTGCTGCTTGACTTTTCTGACCTGTTGTTGAAGGAACAGTTTGCATTTTTCTTCTTCCTTTCGTTGATATTGTGGAAATGTCCTTCAGGGTTTTTTTTTGGAGGTAGAAGGGTGAGAGCTTTCAGATTTGTTCACTTTCCTTTTTATAATAAGGATTCTGAGAATTTTGATTTCATTTCTTACGCTTTTTTGGTAGCTGTAGAAAATGCATCTTGGGTCTGCAGACATCTTTTCAATAATCTTACTTTGTCTGATCTAATCAGAGTTGTGTATGTACTGAACACCTATCTCACCAAGGAGAAACATTTCTCCTAATAAATTCAAACCTCAGAAAGCAGGAGGAAGCCTAGGGATTATTCCCTTTCTTACAGAGATATATCTTTGCACAGTAGCCTGTATTTGTGGGAAAGATTTGTAACGAAAACGTTCTTCCTGCAGTCTAGGTTTGTATCAGTGGAGCAGTAAAGTCGTTCATAAGGCAGTGAGGTTATGGGACGTACGTGGTGGCAAAATGCTACGCCATGCGGTTCATCTTCTGGTGACGCCTCGTGTTGTTGTAAGTGTGGATTGGCTTCAACCTTTTTTTGCACTTGGTATGCCACAGTTACCATTGCTTTCTTGAGTCATAAATATTTATATAAGAAGTAAAAACCTAACTTTGAATATCCTTTTCCTGATGGCCCAAAGACTATGTGATAAAGACGGTTTAATGATTTGAGAGGGTGTATCCAGGGTAAAGTGGAAAATGGTTGGCAGACACAGTTGGAAATAAACAAATTGACACAGTAAGAGGCAGTGAGGGGACTGGGCAGTAAATATTAAAAGGTTAAGCAAAACTGATATTGAATAGATTCCCTAATCCTACTCTTCAGATGTTTTCCTACAGCCTTAGACACCTAACACTCCCCTTGCCTTAACACGGATTGTGAGGCCACTGCTTTTCTCATTTATAAGTTTGAATCACAGACATCTTGAGTTTCTTTTGAATCACAGCATGGTTTGGGTTGCATAAGTTCATCCTATTTTCTACTTTTCTCTTTCGTAGAATCATGGAATGGTTT